AGGGGTTGGCAACCTACAGACTCTGGGCTGGATCTGGCTTGTGGAACCATGGAACATGGCCCAGAGATGTGGGGTGTCGGTAGCATTCAGCGGGGTGGGGTGTTTCAGCTATGGGTGCTCTCCCAGTACTGCTGCAGAGACAAATATGGGCTGTGGATGGGTCCCAGCACTTGCCCCTGATCTACAGTAAGTTATTCTGGCCCACAGCCAGAAAAGATCACCTACCCCCGACCTATATCAAAGGATAATTATGGGAGTCAGACCACATCAGCCAAATTTGCCAACACCGTCACACACTCGCTGCAAAATCCTGATCATGTCACTGTTATTCTACGCCTCAGTTTCCTTTTCTGTAAAGTGAGAAGTAGAGTAATAATGCCAGACTCTAAGAAGATCACAAGGTTTAATTCTTTAATGTGGGAAAAGATGTTGAGACCCTCAGTTATAAAGACACTGCAGCAGGACAAAACATTCTATTGACAAAGTATTAGGAAATGGGTCACATCAACTGGCTCAGGGGACAAACAAAGAGCTAGAAAGAGAGAGGGTCAATTACCTACTTTATGCTCCACAAGATAATTCATTAGTTCATTGTTAAAACTATAATGGTACTTTAGCTCCTATGACTGCATTTGGTACTTTTATTAATAAATGTAATATATCTTTGGACATGGATTATGCAAAAAAGAAAATCAATGTCTGATTGAGCCTATGAAGCTTTCTGTGATATAGTCATGTTTAAAATCTCTTCTGAAAAAGTGAGTACAACACCACCCTATCAATGAACATAAATCAACTACTTCCCTGTCACTGCAGTGACAAGGTATTAGCAGTACCCTCATCTTCCCTGATTTTATTTCGAGCAGGTTATAGGGTGCTCTTGGTGTTTAGGGTGCAGTGTTTATCGCTAATTAGAATCACGGTGCAAAGCAGGTTTGCTTTTAATAACTGGCAATTCTGATAATTGGATACAAATTAAAAAGTCTGTGTGGGCATCATAACCATGCATGCTCAGTAGTCACCAGCTGTTGCATGGTAGTCAGGCTGTTTAAAGCGCGCGCACACACACACACACACACACACAGACCTGATTCCAATAGCCAGCAGAAAAAATAGCTTATATGCACAGAGTATGGGTTCAGATTTTTAGGCTAATAACCAGATGATTACATTAATTGAGAGTCTAATAACTGGTGGACACTGTACAGTTTAAGCTGGCTATGGGCTTGAAGTGAAAATGCAGAACCAGAGTATGATTTCAGTCATCTCTAAATTTAGATGTAGAGTTTTGGTGCGAATTCACCTCCATTGTTCAAATATGATGAAGACTAAAAAGACAACAAGAGCCCCCTATGCTTTTCATAAATGCTCCTGTTAAAGCAGCTTTTATTTCTGAAGCCTATTGGCTTTACAACAGTCATGGCAGTTTGTTAGTCTCATTTCCGCAAAAGCATGCTTCACTTACTAAAGCCACCTAGATTCTGTGATCAGAAGTGTATGAGAAATAATATATACACCGTCTTCCTTGCTCCTATCTGGTCTTACCTTCCATGAGTTTGGCAAAAGGTTCTGGGCACGTGGAAGGGATTGGAAGGGCAAGTTTATTCATGGCAACACCATATGCTACTGCTAGACCATCGATTCCTCGGAAGGGTACTTCTCCTGTTAGCAGTTCCCAAAGCAGCACACCATAACTATGAGCAGAGAGACAGAAAGACAGAATAAGTATTTAGCTTTAATAATCCCTCTATTGATCTTCGAATAAAATACGGCATGAGACATTTATTTAACCAAGACTGTCTTACAAAGTATACTAAATAAATATGGCAATTTAAATCATTGCAACAAACCCAGGTCAAAAACTGAAAGCAACTAACACAGGCATGTCTGTAGACAAACCACATAATCAAGGCAGAAGAGGGGAAAGGGACCTATTGGTGGGAGT